GGGGCTGGGCTTTTCTTCTGAATCATAGTTATGTTAAGTGGTCCCCAGGCAATTCTACAATTTTAGATGGGAAAGGCCAGAGATGAATCTGCAGAACTGACAAAGACCTTCTCTGGGATGCTTAGCATGGCTTTTCTTGAACAGTCTCATACATACCACCTCATTTCAGAAATACAAACCAGTATTCTCAAGTGTTGTTTGGTTCTCATTTGGAGTCAGAGTAGATGTCAACCTAAGTCCCACATTATTTCTTTCTATCCCATGTTCTACAGAATAGGAGGCTCTCTGGTAGCTTGTAATGGCAATTTACAATAGCGTGTTTTTGAGAGGAGGAAGGATTGATGGAGATTAAAACAGTTTTTGTTATACCTTTAGTTTATAAGTAGATATATCTCTCTTAAAAATATTTTATTTATTTATTTTTAGAAAGAGGGGAAGGGAGGGAAAGAGAAAAGAAACATCATTGTGTGGTTGCACCTTGCACGCCCCCTACCAGGGACCTGGCCTGCAATCCGGGCATGTGCCCTGAATGGGAATCGAACCTGCTACCCTCTGGTCGAAGGCTGGCGCTCAATCCACTGAGCCACACCAGCTTGGGCAGAAATATTGTTATTGTGTTTTCTTTTATTGAAAGTAGTAATGGCTAATTCATCAAAAACTGAAGTAATATAGTCCTGACTGATGTGGCTCAGTGGGTTGGGCATTATCCTGCAGACTGAAAGGTCGCCGTTTGGACTCCAAGTCAGGGCACTTGCCTAGGTTGCAGGCCTGGTCTGTACGACAGGCAACCGATTGATGTTTCTCTTGCACATCAATGTTTCTCTTCCTTTCTTCCCTGCTTCCCCTCTCTCTAAAACTAAATAAGAATCTTAAAAACTGAAGTAATACAGAAGAGTATGAAGAAAAAGAATTCAACCACCCGGAGGCGACATCATTAGCATTTTGGTGCCCATTCAAACATACAACAATGAGGTCATGTTAGAGATAGGGCTGTGTTACTTGATTTAATTACTTAAACATGTGTCACTAATACATCAATCAGGATGGGCTACACTCTACTGTGGTAACAACACCCAAATCCCAACTTCTCAAATGACAAGTGTTTATTTCTTGCTTATACAACTTGTCTGTCTTGGGTTAGCAGTGGAGGAGGTATGCATGTTGTGGTCAGTTGGGAACCTGGACTTGGCAGAGCAGCTGCCATCTGAAATGCTACTAATTACTGTGCCATAAAGAAAAAACATCTCTGCAGTATCACACATCTGTAATTAAATGCTTGGCCCAGAAGTGACAAATGTTACTTGCATTTGTATCTTATTGGCAAGAACCAGTCACAGGGTCCTGCCTTGTCACAAGGCGGGGCAGAAAATGCAATGCATCTGGCAGAGAGCTAGAGAAATATTTGGTGAACAGAATTGAAGTCCCGCAAAATAAACATTCATTGATGGCAATAAACATAGGTCTACATTATCATATTTATTAGCCGTATTCTAATTAGTCTGTATATCACGACATATTTAACCAAACCTCTTTGAAGGGCATTTATACAATTTCTAATTATTAACAATTGTTTTAAAAGTTGCAAAGAATTTTCTTGTACACTGATACAGTGGGAATATAAAATCTTATAGCCACTTGGAAATCAGTTTGGCAATTTCCTAAAGGTTAAATTTACCATACAACCCAGTAATTCCACTCCCAGGTATATACCTAAGGGTAATAAAAATATATACCCAACATCAAGACTTGCATGTGATTTTTCAGGCAAATTCCACATAATACCCAAATAATAGAGCCTAAGCAGAAATAACCTAAATCCATCAGCTGATGAATGGATGAACAAAATATGGTTTATTCATACAATGGAATATTATTCAGACACAAAATAGAATGAAGTACTGATACATGCTACAACATGGATGAATCTTGAAAAAATTATGCTAAGTCAAAAAAATCAGTAATAGTGGGGTGAAAGCAAGCGAGGGAGGTGGGGGGAAAAAGCCAGTCATACAAGACTGCATGTAGAATGATGCCATTTATATGAAATGTCCAGAGTGAGCCGGTCCACCGAGACAAAGCTGATCAGTGGTGGCCTAGGGCCAGCAGAAAAGCAGGGGTTGTGAGGTGACAGTAAAGGATACAGAGTTCCTTCTGTGATAAATAAAATGCTCTAAATTGATTATGGTGATCATTGCACAGCTCCACAAATATACTAAAAACATTGAATTGTATACTTTATTTTTTAATTATATTTTATTGATTATACTATTACGGTTATCCCATTTTTCTCCCCTTTGCCCCTCCACCTGGCAAACCCCCCTTAGGCAATCCCCACATTATTGTTAACATCCATGTGCCAAGTGTATCAGGTCCTTGGCTACTCCATTTCCTATACTGTACTTTACATCCCTGTGGCTAGTCTTTATTTGTTCTTTTTAATCCTCTCACCTCTTTACCCATTCCCGCACACCCTCTTCCCTTCTGGCAACCATCAAAATGCTCTCCATATCCATGACTCTGTCTCTGTTCTTGTTTGCTTAGCTTGTTTTTTAGATTCAATTATTGATAGATGTATTTATTACTATTTTATTGTTCATAGTTTTGATCTTCTTTTTCTCAAATAAGCCCCTTTAACATTTCATGTAATAATGGTTTGATGATGATGAACTCCTTTGTTTTTTCTTGTCTGGGAAGCTCTTTATCTGTCTTTTGATTCTAAATGATAGTTTTGCAGGGTAGAGGAATCTGCTTTTCATGACTCAATACTTCTTTCCAGCCCCTTCTTGCCTGCAAAGTTTCTTTTGAGAAATCAGATGACAGTTTTATGGGAACTCCCCTGTAGATAACTAACTGCTTTTCTCTTGCTGCTTGTAGATGCTCTCTTTTTCTTTGAACTGAGGCATTTTAATTATGATGTGTCTTGGAGGGGGCATCTTTACACCTGTTTTGTTTGGGACTCTCTGTGCTTCCTGGACTTGCATGTCTATTTCCTTGACCAAATTAGGCAAGTCTTCTGTCATTTTTTTCAACAGATTTCCGATTTCTTGCTCTTTCTCTTCTCTTTCTAGTCCCCTATGATGCAAATGTTGGCCCACTTGAAATTGTCCCAGAGGCTGCTTATAGTATCCTCATTTTTTTGGATTCTTTTTTCTTCTTCTTGTTTTGGTTGGTTGTTTTTTTGCTTCCTTATGTTTAAAATCATGGATTTGATTCTTGGCTTCATCTGCTCTACTGTTGTTTCCCTGTAAATTGTTCTTTATTTCAATTAGTATCTCCTCTATTTCTGACTGGATCTTTTTTATGCTGTTGAGGTCCTCACTAAGTTCTTTGAGTGTCATTATAACCAGTGTTTTGTACTCTGCATCTGATAAATTGCTTATCTCCATTTTGTTTAGTTCTTTTTCTGGAGTTTTGATCTGTTCTTTCATTTGGGCCATATTTCTTTGTCTCCTCATTTTGGCAGCCTACCTGTGTGATTATATGTATTAGGTAGAGCTGCTATGACCCCCTGTATTGGTAGTGTTGCCTAATGTAGTGGGTGTCCTATAGGATCCAGTGGCACAGCCTCCCCTATCACTCAAGCTGGGTACTCAAGGTGAACCCTTCATGTAACTGAGTACATCCTCCTCTTATAGTTGAGCCTTAATTTCCATTAGCAGATCAATGGGAGGGATTTGCCCAGGCCAGTAAGCTGTAAGGGCTGGCCATGATCACTGACTACCAATTTCTGCCCTCTGTGGAGGATCAGCTTTGCAGGGGCAGGGTGGTGGTGCTCCGATGGGTCTGCAGCTGTCTGCTAGATGCATATGCTCTGGGGTTTCCTGGGTAGTGTAAGCCAAGGTCAGCTCCCACCTGTGTTTTGCCCAGGGCCACCCTGCATGAGCTGTAGAGCAGTCTGAGATGGCTGCTACTTGTGCTGGGCTTGGAGATTCCCAGGTGAAGGCAAACTGTGAACCCAGGCTGGCTGCTGTTAGTGCCAGTCCTGGGTCCACTTAGCAGTAGGCGTGTGGGGCTGAGGACTTAGTGAGGCCTGCTGTTGCTCGTTTGAAAGGATTTAGGAAGTTGTGAAGCATGAGCCAAGACCAGCCAATCATATGGAAAAGTCACATCATAAGTTAACAGTTTGGATGCATCATAAGTTGAGTGGGACAGAGTCTCAGTGGATCTCCAGGGAGGGGCAAACTATGTTCGCCAAGTTGATGGAGTGTCAGATATGGCACCCACTTGCTGGCTCTGTGAGTCTGTGGGCGAAGGCTCAGGAAAGGGCCTTTCTGTGTGGGAGAAAGCTCTCCTCCATCTCCCACCTTGATGCCAGTCAGTTCAGTTCCTCCCCATATGCCACTGGTGCCTTTCAAACTGCTACCCCTGTGCTAGAGCTCAGAGAGAGTGAGTTGAGTAAGCCTGTGTGTGGTTCTTTAAAGGAAACTGCCTGGGACTCCAGAATTTTCTTCCACTGACTCAATCCCTGCTGGTTTTCAAAGCTAGAAGTTATGGGGACTTATCTTCCTAACACTGGAACCCTGGGCTAGAGGGCCTTTCCTTTTTATGGGAAAGCACAGCAAATCATCAAGAAAAACAAAAGGAAATTCAAGTTTAGTTCAGCTTTGCTTCCAGGGTTTCCTAAAGTTTTGAGTTGAATAATTGAGTAAGGCCAAACACGTTTACTTATTATAATGGAGACAATATTAAAGATCTTATTTTCAAGCTCAAAATAAACTCAAATAATGCAGATGAACTTACTGTTCTGGTCAATTCATCCACACTCCTCTAACAGATTTAAAGACACTCAGATGATGAGGCAGCGTGACATCATGGGCTCAGCAGTCAGCCAGGTCTGGGAGGGATGAATGCAAATTCTGGCTTAGAAGCTTTCTGACTAAAGATCAAACTTTTTCATGATAGATAGCCCTTTTTGTAAATTTAAATGGATTTTTACTTCCTTATGCAACTAACTTCTTTGAGAATAATCTCACAGTCACATTTCATGACCTCTCTTTTAGGTTGGAGTCCGGGTCCCGAGGCAAGTCCGGCTGTTGCAGAGGCTGGTATGTACATGCATGGTGCTCCTTACCTCCGTCCCCTCACTGGTCTGGCTATTTTGAACTGGGCACTGACTTTGCTTGCAGCTCCTCCGAAGTTTATAAAGCTGCTTGTAGAAGGATTCTAACATGAAACAGAGTCACTTTTATAAGGCTTTTTTCAAGTGGATTTTTTTTTCTGGAAAGAGACTTGATTATTTCAGTAGGACTATAAGGACAAAGTGTGAAGTTCTAAAGGCCTTCTTAAGAAAACCACACACCTAAATTCACCATTACTCTTTTCAGACATTCTTACATGAAAATAAAGGCTGTCCTATGAATCAAACAACTAAAGCAAATGAAGAATTCACATTTGTAAAGCAGAGGTTCACGTGGTACCCATTGGGCAAGGCTCTCAATGCATGTTAGAGACTAATAGACGGGAGCTCAGGCATTTACTCAACAAATAATTTTTTGAATGCTTACAATCTGCCCCACACTGTTGTAGGCACTGGGTACACAGCAGTGAACAAAACAGACCAAAGATCCTGTCCGTCACAGTGCTTGAATTGTAAAAGGGGTGCAGTGATAAAATAAACAAATACATTGTAAGCGTATTAGTAATGGAGAAGATGACGAATACCACAAGAGAGGAAGATGGAGGAACTTACATACATTTTCATCTGTGAGATTTTTGTTATTACTTTCAAACAATGGAATCCCATAATGACAGCCTAATATGTACTGAGTGATTAACCATGCGCCAGGCATTGTTCTAAGTGCTTCATGTGTCATAGCTCAGTCACCCTTGTCACAATTCTTTGAGGCCTTTTACAGATGAGAAAAATGAGCTTCAGAGAGATTGAGTAACTTGCCCTAAACTACACAGTTGGTAGGAAGTGGAAGAACCAGGATTGGAGTCCCAATAGTCTGGCTTGCAAGGCCATGCTCCTTAACTAATGCACCAAACGGCCTTCTCAATGATATCTGATTTTCTCTTTATCAGCATTTTCACTCAACACCGCCTCACCTGGCCTAGCCCTAGCCATTCTTTTACATGGGGAGAAATATTCCCTGTCATTGGCATACCATAGGTTATTAAGAATTCTGCAACTGATGATTTTCCAATGTTTCCCTCTATGAACACTACTGCAAAAGCTTTCTGTGTATTCTGTTATGTGGGTGATTTTAATATAATAGTCCAGATTTTTCATTAGGAGGGTTCCTGGATCACAGCGCCTGTGCATTTTAAATTTCGGTAGATGTTTTCAGATTACTTTTTGAACACTGTTACTCTTAATACTATCTGTGTTAAGTTTATTTCTGTCAGCAGTAGAAATAACAGCTCTTTTTTGACTTGCCACTCTTTTAGATATAGAGTGATTTTTCACTGTTCCTTTAATTTGCATTTTCCTAATTACTTATTAGTTTGGACTTTTTTTCCTATACATTTCTCGGCCATGCAGAGTAGTTCCGTGAATTGGTTTTTTCAGGTCCTTCCCTCATTTTTTCTCCTGTGTTTTTATCTCCTGGTTGTCAGTGTGTTGGGTAACTGTGTGTTATTGATACTCTGTCCTCTAAGTTGGAAGACTTTTCTGCTAAATATGTCACTTGTCTATTAACTTTGTTTATGGTATATTGGGCATGTGAAGGTTTTAAGTCCATAAGTAATAAATAAGTTTTTCTTTTCTTTATAGCCTTTGAGTTTTCATTCTTGGTTACAAAATTTTCTTGGCCCCCATGACTGAGACTTTTAATCTAATTGTCCAGATTTTCTTAGAAATCTCTAGAAATTTTAGAAATCTTACATGTATTATAATTTTTTAACTTTACCTTTATTTGCCCATTCAGCTGGTGCCAGAATGATCCTTCCAGGAGTAGACCTAATGCTCACTTTCTTTTATAAATGTCTTCCCTGATTCTGCATCACCTAGAGCAGGGTGTCAAACTCATTTTCACCAGGGGCCACATCAGCCTTGCGGTTGCCTTCAAAGGGCCAAATGTAATTTTAACTCCTTAAGTGTTAAGGGGTAGTTACATTTATACAGTCCTAAAATTATTTCAGCCCTTTGAAGGCAGCCACAAGGCTGATGTGGCCCCCACTGAAAATGAGTTTGACACCTCTGACCTATAGGATTAACTCTAAGAACATACAAGGCCCTGAGTAATCTGGTTCCTGCCTGGCTCTGTAGCTTGTATACCCCAGGAGTCTCCTTTATTTTATACTCAGCTGTATCACACTAACCTGAATGTTTTCTATTCTCATTAACGAATAGAATGTGGGTGGTAACGCTGGTATTCATTATCACGGCCACCTCATGGGCCACAGGGATTTGATTTTATTCTCAATTAGATAGCTTTTGTGAAGCTCTCTGACATCACATACACAAAAAAATGTTTATAGTTTGAAAAGCAGGGTGTCTTTGTATTTGAGTCTCCATGGTGCTTAACATATATTGGTCTGGTTTTCCTAAAACAATTAGACTGTCATCATTTAACCTACCGATGGAAAGGGCTGTGGCAGGCACCTCATTCAGAGTGCATTCTAAAATTTGTAGACTGGAGTTGTTTTAAGCAGAGGTGGTGAGATTCATAGACATGGGGATGATTACAATAGAGGAAGGAGTTTATACTTACGGATTGGTAGGAACAGGAGGCATAGCATATAGGGGCACATTGGGGAACACCAGGGTCAGTCAGGAGGTAGGAGAAGCAGAAGGACATGGGCCAGCACCTTTATTGGGTTTTTGCAGGAAGGAATTGGTAAGTAAGATTAGGATTGGATAGTTGGAATAATTTTGGCTGGCTCCGGGAGATAGTGTTGGTCCCTGGTTATCTGGGGGTGATTTAGGGCAGCTGAATGTTGGCTGGGAGTGTAAGAGCTTAATAAAGAAGGTGGTTGGAAGTGTGGACTCTGGACTGATTGGTTGTATATCAAATGTGTGCTCACAGGGAAGTTTTTTGTTAACTATATAAATTAGCTAGCCCTGAGATCAAGGCCCCCAGTGCCAGAGCATCAAGAATATAGAAAATAAGAAAGTATAGTCAATACAGCAGACAGCATGCCGCTGGGCATCATTAGCTTATAGAAGGTTGGTTATATGTGTGTCTGTCTCTCTACTCCCGACTCTAACCACCATGGTTTTTTTTTTCAGCCATGGTTTATTTATTTATTTTTAGAGAGAAGGGCAGGACAGGAAAAGGAGAGGGAGAGAAATATTGATGTGCAAGAGATATATCCATTGGTTGCCTCTTGCATGCTGCCCCCAACTGGGGACCTGGCCTGCAAGCCAGGCATGTGCCCTGACTGGGAATAGAACCAGCAACTTTTTGGTTTGCAGGCTGGCACTCAGTCCACTGAGCCACACCAGCCAGGGAACCATGGTTTATCTTTTTGTAGGAGGTGTACAAAGTGGGTTTTTCTTCTGCATAAAGGTCATAATTGCATTTTACCTTTCCTCTAAATGTAATAAAATATTGCTAAGTTAGTAGTATTACTGCAGATAGGCAATCCTGAGCTTATGCAGAGGGGTATGTTGCTTCTCCAAGGTGATAAATACAGGTGCCTTGTCAAGGAGGTGCATCATCTAGAGGTCTTCTGCTTCATGTGATAATAACAAGGCTATGTTGTTTTTCTCAGCCAGCTGCCAACCATCACACTTCTTCATAAAGTGAGGGGGAGCTGAGTTAGATGATTTCTGAGGTTCTCTACCACCTTCAGAATTATTTCTCCTAATAATCACTGAATTATAAGACCAGAATAAAACAACAAAATGCTAATCTTCAGGGAAGAGGCTTGACTTCTGGCAAGTGCCGATGCAAACATTCCTCAGTTACATTTCCAGATGGCATGTTGGGTAATTCAGGACATCCTCTGGGCGACTTGATGTTAAGTGACTCACTTGAGTCACACAGACACGTTTGTTCCCCTGAGAAGCTAATTAAGACACTCCCTGCCTCAAACTGCTTTTCCAACTGTTTAGCTTTTTTATGGAAAATATTGAAGAAATTATTATGTCATAGGAATACTTGATTTTTGTCCCCTATTTTCCAGTTGACATTCCCAAATGAAGTGATTTAAGTATAAAAATGGAAAGCATGTTGAATTTTTAAGAAGTGTGCTCTGGGAAAAACTGAGGCAACTGTTTTATAGCTTTCCATTTATGCCATACTTTCATGAACCTTGGCCATTCCAAGTTCTGTACTTGGCTTTTGGGGTTGTCCATTTCCTGACAATTTGACGTGCCCGTCCAATATTCTTCTCATGATGGATCCTTCTTTCTAACTAAACCATTCTGTTCTTTGTCCCAGAAATGTGATGTGGTTCATTCCTATTTTCATAAATTTTGTGTTTCTAGAATGTTCTTTTTGTTCTCTTTCACCATATACAAATTTTATGTCTTCTTTAAAACTCTCTCTTACTTTTATAGACCTCACTGATTTCTCTTTCATCTGAAAACTGTGTATCGCATATATATATATATATATATATATATATAATCCTTATACCTTCCTATATTGTACTTTCTTCCCAAAGTGATCATAGTGAGTGCCTTGAGAGAAGGAGCCGTATGTAATATTTTTCCCAATCATTCATAGAAGTTAGTCTATCATAGTGTTTAATAAATATTACTTTATTACCATTTTCTTTTCTCGGGGTATTTATTTTTCTTTATTTATTCAAGAGTCAGAAAATTTAATTTAATTCCATAAATGTTTGTGAGTTTTACTTTATGCTGAGAGCTGTGGGTGAAAGAAAAAGTAAGCATTGGTCCCTGTTCTCCACATGTGTACAGCCTAGCAGAGGCAGGGGTAAGGAGTGGGTAGCTTGAGGGGAGTGGGGGACAGATTTGCACACAATTAATTTCAATAGATTGTACACCGAGAGTGCAGTAACAGGAAGGCAAGGCCTATGACTTGAGAGTCACAGCAGATGGCTCCCATGGGAACACAGTTATAGGAGCCATAAAACTAAAACAGTTTTGGGAAACTCTCCTCAGTCTGTCTGTAGGATCTATAAATTATGC